ACACACACACACACACACACACACACACACACACACACACACACACACACACACACACACAGAGCTGCAAAGAAAAAAAAGGAAAAAACACTCAGACACAACCCCACCCCTTGCACAGCTATGGTACGGTGTGGGCCAAGTGGTGTTCTATGGCCTGAGGGATGCTACGTGGGTTGGATGGTAACATTGGACAGGGCAGCACCGTGCGGGGCAGGCCATCTGTATGGAGTGGATGGTCCCCACATTAAAAAATCCTGCGAAAAACGAAAAACTTCGAGGAAGATAGACGTGGCCATTACAAGAGAAAGAAAACATGGCCATGACAAGAGAAAGAAAACATGGCCATGACAAGAGAAAGAAAAAAGACACACGGCCAAGTTGGGCCAACATCAGACACAATTCGGCTCTGCCACGGCCAGGCAGTACTTTGTGGGCTGAGTGGTATAATGTGGCCTGGCCGCCTGGGTGATACTGTGGACGTTGGGTCATACCATGCAGGGTCGGTCATTTCACGTGGACAGCGAAGTACTATGTGGGATGTAGGTTGGGAGGTACGGGTTACTGGTACTATGTGCGCAGGGTGACATCTTGTGGCTTGGGTGATACTAAGTGGGTTGGATGGCACTATGCGGGGTGAGTCATACTAAATGGGTGGGTTAGGTGGTACTAGTTGGCGTGGGTCATAGTGGGAGTAGTGGGTGAGATGACAGGAGGGTGACTGTCCTGAGTGCCAGACACTGAGGTATGATTGTGGGAGTAGGGTGCACAGGGAGAAATCATGAGAGTGGGTTGTGGCGGTGTCGACCGCCGTACGTCGTACGGGGGTTCATTCGTACGACCGTACGAACGGCCGGTCGAACAGTTGTACGGCCATTCGTACTTAGGCCGTACGATGGTGCATAAGGCACCGGAAAATGAGCAAAAAAAATAATAATGAAATATGGGGTTGTGGAGCTCAAAACTCTCTACAGCCCCTTAATTTTTTATTTTTTACTGGGCTTCACTTTTATTTATAAAAAAAAATAGAAACATGAAAACGGAGAAAAATGACTTAAAAATAAAAAAACCTTGATTGATTGATTGATTGATTGGTTGATTGATTGCCCAATGTCCATTGATTGATTGATTCAAAAAATAAAATTCAAAAAATGTGCGCATAGGCATGCAGTTGCGTGAGAGAGCACACGCTCCCTCTGTCTCTCTCAGCATGCGCGCGCCCGCACGAGAGAGAGAGAGAGAGAGAGAGAGAGAGAGAGAGAGAGAGAGAGAGAGAGAGAGAGAGAGAG